ACTGCCTCCACAACATCCAAAGGCTAACCACCCTGTTAGAGAAATAAACTGTTTTAGTTGAAGATGACTCCTATCCAGCCAAAATTTATTTGTGTCCCATAGTCATACTATTCTTATTGTTAAATATGAAAAAAGATAATGCATTAACACTATCAATTCCCTTTACAATCTTAAACACTTCAATAAAACCCCTGCCCCCAACTCTTCTTTTTTCATGAGAAAACTATTTGAGAGATTTTAACCTTTCCTCCTATGACAACCTCTCCATCCCAGGCAACATTCTATGAACCCTTTCCAACAACTTAATGTCTTTCTTAAGGTAAAGAGTCCAAGACTGAACACAGTATTCCAAATATGGCCTAACCAGTGACCTATACAATGAAATTATAACATCTCTAGATTTGTATTCAATATTTCTGTAGATACAACCTAAAATACTATTTAATCTACCACCAGCAACAGCACACTGCTTGGATGGGTTTAGAGACTGATCTTTCTTTCATGACACTGTTAAGGTTATTCCCATCCAAATTATGTTTATAATTCAAATTATGATGACCCACTTGTATTTTCTTGCATTTATTATAATTAAAACCCATTTGCCATTTACTTGCCCAACTTACTAAATGATCTTGATCCTTTTGTAAATCAGCAGCATCTTCTTCACAGCTAGCAACACCCAAGACCTTAATATCATCTGCAAATTTAAGTAATTTATTGACCATTCCCTCATCTATGTCACTGATGTAAATCAAAAAGAGTAAGGGTAGTAAGACTGAGCCCTAAGGTACCCCATTTGTGACATTAATCCAGATTTATTGAACTCCATTTGTAACAACCCTCTGCTTTCTTCCATCCAATTTGCTAACTTATCTCAGTTATTACAGTTGGAACCTCATTATATTTAGAACTTGGTTATAAATACAACCTTCCTATGTCTATTCAAACACTACATTAACCTTTACATTTAAAGCTGTGTTTGATATACACATTTTTTAAAACTAGAAACCACAACTGTAAATATTATAATTGTCAATACAAGCTAAAATCTGTGGGGGTAATGTGCACTGGAGAGTCCTAAGAAACAGTGCAATAGGTGAACCAAGTTCCCTAAATTTTTAAAAGCAAACTGATCCCGATTTATTCAATCCAATGATCAGCAGGAGTGGGCAGGATCCCCTTACGCTTTACTCATGATAGTCCATGAGTGGCAGTCCAGCATAGTACAGTAGTTCCACCCAGTCAACTTCTAGGTGGTCTTATGGAACATCTCATTTTTACAGAGCTTGTTGCAACCTAGATAAAGTATACTGAACTAATGGTTGCTAATGCAGAATTGGTTGGATAAAAGCATACCTGCCTGGGCAACACTTGCCACAGAATGGGATCCTGTGAAAACAAGGTAAGGGACCCTGGAAGGTTGCTAGGTAATTACTCACCCCTCTGTAATCTAGCAGAAGTGGTTAAGATAGCTACAGGAGGTTGGCAAAAACCCTAAGGGGAAGATACTGCCAGATCATGCAAATAACATGAGATAAAAGTATTGGGGAGGTCCACATTCCATCCTGCACAATGTCCTGATGCAGGTAATTCAACCAGGCTTCTAAGGACATAGAAATGTGATGAATATGATTAAATGAGACTCACAGAAGATTGCTTGCCTTCAAAGAGAGCCCAGAATAAGAAATATGAAACAACTGTAACTGGGGTGAATCCTGGGAAACTAAATGATCCCAATGAATAAAAAGTCATTGTCTAGCATTAGTTCAGGCAAGAAAACCTTCAAGACCATCACTGGACATAACAAATGATCAAAATCTGATTGGCCATAGAAGTGAGAAATAGTGATCAGATGAATTGGTAAAAAGGATTTATCCCCTTCCATGGCTGACAGTGTCTTAGGGAAGAAGAATTGGTTTGAGCATATAGGTAGAATGATAAAGCATCCTGTGGACTATCGGTGCAAACCACTCCAACTGGCAATGTCTGTAGGTTAGAGGCAACAAAAAATAAACCTTCAGATAAAGGTGAGACATGGCATATGAGGCTAAGGGCACAAATGGTGTTGAAAAAGGGCATGTAATGTAACCTAAATATATCAATTAGATAACTGGAATGGTCGTTTGGGACAAAGGACCCAAAGGAACTTGAGGAAGCCAGAGAGTACTGGGGACTCCAAAAAATTGTCTCAAGCATCGAACAGTTTCCTGTATAAGGCCACCTTATACAGGGCAATTGTGGAAGATGCAAAACCCTTGCCAAGGAGCCAGGTCAAATATGAGTTATGGTTGGCACTTCTGATCAAAGTGGGTTCAATCTCCTCTCAATACATCATTGCCGAAATGTTTGCCATTTCCGTTGATAAATGTCTGTCACAAGACTAAGCAAAGCCTGAGACAGATACATGTCAACCCTCGAAATTAAACCCCAATACTGTGCGAAGGACTGCATAACCTCCATTCCTGAAGCTTGAATTTCTGGATAGCTGGGTTTACCATGTCAAATCATGGCTGCCTCCACAGAGAAGGCCAAAAAGGAAGTGGAAAAGATAGGCACTCCTGAAGGTACAGCAGAAGCAGAAACCAGGGTGCAGCTGCCAATCCAGTGCTATGAACAGGACCTGACAATGGGTTGGAACAAATCAATGTTAGTACCATGTGTAACATATGACTAAGAGGGAAGTCCTATAGTTGTAATCCCATCCCATCCTGATGGAATGCATCCATTGCCATAGCCCAAAGGTGAGGTACTGGAGACCAAATTGTCAGTAGTTGGGTGTATGAATGAGTGGCCAATCCACCAATCATCAGTGTTTTAAAATGAGAGCCAATCCAACAGAAAACGTTGCAATGCAGCATCTATTCTATGGGGAGAATCTGTTTGGGTCAAGAAAATTGATCTGCTACCACAGTCATCATCTGTGGAACAAGGCAAGCTAGTAGGTTGATATGATAAGAGTGGTCCCAAGAAAGTAGATCCATGATTCGAAAGCAAGGAGACCTTGACCAAATGCCCCCTTGATGGGAAATGTAAGACACCACCACCATGGAATTGTTGGCATGATGCCCAACAATTTTCCCCTTAATTAGCCCAGACCATGAGATTGTCTTTTGATGAGCAAGAAGAACTAAAACATGGTGTAAGTAAGCCTCGTCCATAAGTAGTTTATGGAATTCCGGACTGTTGGGATATGAATCCCATCCCTAAAGCAAGGTACATGAAGAGATGGATCTCTGGAAAAGATGGTGGCAGATGAACCAATATCTTAGTATTGTCCCAACCTAACAACCCCTTGAGATCAGAGAATGATCTTGAATAAGGAAACTGGGGAATCCAGTGAATCTATGTTTATGATCCCTTGGTTACATAAAGACCCTTGAAAGGGTCTCTTGTTCACTCATCCCAAAAGCATGAGGAATTTCAGTGATGCCCACATTCCCAAAATAGAAAGAATATTCCATGCAGTGGGAGAAGGAGAGGGGAGTAAGAGTTGGGCATCCTCTTCCATAATGTGAAGATGGATGGCAGTTGGGCTGAGCCCAACTGAGATATGTGATAAAAATAATACCCAGACTGACAAAATGTTGAGTTGGAGCAAGAATATATATCTCAGATCTGGAAATGAAGCCTGCCTTGGTTGTTTCTGAAAGTAAAATCTGGTTGTGATGTTTTGACAATTGATGAAATGATGCCAACAGTAACCAGTCATCTACTGAATGGTGTGTGCACAGGGCTAGGGAATGGAGGTGACGAGGGTTATGTTGTTATGTTGGAGCAAAACAATGTTGAGCCATCTCCTATGTCCACTTTAGGGAATCAAACCCCAGACTTCAGCATTGTAATTCCGTAAACTTACCACTGTCCCACAGGTGGACTGAGAAGTCAACAGAATAAAAGAAGACACAGGAAAAACTGATACAGGATTCTCTCCAGAATCACCCTCAATTGTAGCTTCAGAGCTCCCTGGAGGAATACCAAACTGAATACA